TCAACTTTACTGTTGTTGGTGTTTGATGGTTGAGAGGGCTGAGATCGAAGGATGGAATGTCGTCTTCCCTTGTCACTTTAGTCTTCTCAGTATCCTTGGTTGGCAATTTAGGAGTCTCTTCTCGAACAACATCATCTGACTCTGTCTTCTCGCTGTCACTTTCTCAGGCTTTTCCCAGCTTGACCTGCATTCCCTTCTTGTGGTGTTTCCTTATCAAGATCCATTGGATCTGCTGTTTCTCTAGCTCCTTCTTCTCCTATTTCCTTTGCAGGTGTCTTTTCTGGAACTGCTTTTGGGGTGTTTCCCTGATTCAGACCTTCTTGAACAGATTGTGCTGGTGCTTCTGTTTCAACTGTAAGCTGTGGAACTCCTTCTTGGTTGCTTTCCCTATTCACACCTTCTGGAGCAGATTTTGGTTCTTCTTTTCTTGCAGCAGGTTTTTCTGGACCTTCAATAGCATAATCATCTTGCTCCTTTTCTTTTGGCTTTGGAGTAGGTGCAGCAAGATCGACTGTAGTTGGTTGTGAATCATCTTCTTGTTGTGTTCCCTCCTTGTTCTCATGTTTCTTCTTGTCTAGCTTTGCCTCTTTGAATATTGTCTTCAGGATTTTATCCAAAGCGGCATCGATTTTTTCATCGTTCTCTTCTTCATCATATTCACACTCACTGTCGGTTCCTACCACCTGATTGCCAGATTTTTCTCCTTCTGTGGGCTGAACATATTCATCAGAGCTTTCTTTCTGGAGATTCTCTTTGTGTTTGATCAGCCTGCATATTAGGATTTTAATTTTGTAAGATACCATGGTGGTAATGTGTGTATCGTGTAGAGTTAGTTACCATGGTGGTAATGTGTGTATCGTGTAGAGTTAGTTACCATAGTGGTAATGTATTACCATGGTGGTAATACATGGTATTGGCAATTATTATCACTTTATTACATTATATTAGCGTGAAATAGACAATTGGAATACATATAAGTTGTACTTACTTGGTAGACTGTTCTGATATTCTTCAAATCAAAGTTCAGTGATGATGACTGGTCTGGAGTTTTGGTTCTTTGTCTTTTCGGTGATTGATAGACTCGCTCATTCTCATGATCCTCACCAGTTGCATCATCAGACTCATCAACAATAATGTTGTCAAGCTTTGCTATCTGGGTCAACTCTTCTCCATTGTAGTAGCTCTTAATGTTCTCAAAGTTGCTTTGGACATTGAGATCATCATAGTAGCTTACTGTTGGGGTTCGAAGCTGGGTTGAGAACGTCATTTCGTCCAGTTTGTTTATGAAGCATACCTTTTTATGCAGATAGTTGTATTAGTTTTTTCAAAGACTAGCATTTGTATATAAAATATATGAGTAATAAGGTTGAAAGGGCCAAGGGAATGGAGACTTACTGTAAGGAAGTGAAGATCTGCATTGACGCAAAGGTTTCCTGATTTCAATCCTTCATTCATGTGTTTGAAGAAGTATTTGCACCAGTTGTAGCTGGTGAAATTTTTCAGTTCATCAGTCTTCAAGTACTCAAGCATGTTGAGGTCAGAAGTAGGGGTTGAAGTTGGACATAACAAGCCTCCGGTGACCAGCAGAAAGAATAACTGTAACCATCTCTTAGTGTTTTTAGTTATAGGAAGATCTTTTCCTATCTGAGTTAGCTTTACCCTTGGAGTTGTTCATGATCCGTCTACTTCCCGTAGGGTTTCTATTGCATAATCTGCTGCGTCGTCCCAAGTAATTTTGGAGGTACAACTTCCTTTTTCCCCATTGGCAGACCATATACTCTATGAAAGTCGATTGTTGATATCTTCATGCGTGTCCCGTCAGGTAGCTTGAACGATTCTGTCATTGGATTGTATTTGTTCATTGTGAACAATGCAAAATGTGAGTTTATCTTTGTCTGCCTGATTGATGTTAAGCCTGCTAGGCCTAATATCTCAAGTTGCTCTTTCTGTTCATCTTTTAATGACCTTGTAATTGCAGATACTCTAGTTGGGCTGCACCTTGTGAGTAAACTTTTTCTTTCACCATAGTGTACCTGAATGTAGAAAACAGGAATAGTCTATTAGGAAGCTTTTTACCATGAAATACCATATGGTACCATAAAGGTTTCCTACCATATCAATTCAAACCATAGATTTATCACATCTTACCATATGGTAACAAAGTAAAACACGACAGGACTTATGGTTTCTTCCATTTGAAAACATGAAACCATAGATTATCAAATCTTACCATATGGTAACAAAGTAAAACACAACAGGTCTTATGGTTTCTTCCATTTTTATCACATGAAACCATAGCTTATCACATCTTACCATATGGTAACAAAGTAAAACATAACAGGACTTATGGTTTCCTCCATTTCTATAACATGCAACCATAGCTTATCACACCTTACCATATGGTAACAAAGTAAAACACAACAGGACTTATTGTTTCCTCCATTTTTATAACATAAAACCACAGCTTATCACATCTTACCATATGGTAACAAAGTAAAATACAACAGGACTTACGGTTTCTTTCCATTTTATAACATGAAACCATAGCTTATCACATCTTACCATATGGTAACAAAGTAAAACACAACATGACTTATGGTTTCCTCCATTTTTATGACATGAAACCACTGCTTATCACATCTTACCATTTGGTAACAAAGTAAAACACAAAAGGACTTATGGTTTCCTCCATTTTTTATAACATGAAACCATAGTTTATCACATCTTACCATATGGTAACAAAGTAAAACACAACAGGATTTACGGTTTCTTTCCATTTTATAACATGAAACCATAGCTTATCACATCTTACCATATGGTAACAAAGTAAAACAGAACATGACTTATGGTAACCTCCATTTTTTTAACATGCAACCATCATATGTCACATTTTACCATATGGTAACAAAGTAAAATACAATAGGACTTACGGTTTCATCCATTTTTTAGTGCATTACAAATCTTAATACCATATGGTAACGATTTGGTAATGTAGCGAGTTTACTTCAATTTTCACATGAAGAGTGACTGAAATACTGTTTCTATTGTTTGGGGATGGATTTCGAAGAAAGAAACGAGGTTTTACCTTAATATTTTGTGCGAAAATGATTTTTGAGCCTCGTTGAAGTTGGAAACCCTTTGGTTTCAGACGAAGAAGCGAGAACAGTGTATTGTTGAATGATTCTTCGAAAACCTTTGCGAAAATCCTTCGATTTTGAAGTTTCTTCTGTGTTTTCTGAAGTTTTTGGTGCGATTTTGGTGAGAGAATTGATGATCGGGAGGATGAATGGAGGTTAGAGAGCAGAGGGAAGTAGAACTGTCGCGTGAAAAGGTGAGAGAAAGAAGGAGAGAAGGCGGAACGGGTTGATGTCGTTGTCACGTATGCTTTTCAAATTGTCAGAGGCGATGATTACTATTTTGCCCCCCCCCCCCCCCCCCCCCCCCCCCCGCATGTGTAGTTACTTTGCATGATCTGACGGTTGAAAAGATGATGCGATGTACGGTGGATCAGGCGGTTACTGACAGTTACTGATGCTTTGGTTACTGAGGTGATCCGCTCCCCTTTGTTCCACAGCTTTTATAGGTGAAAAATGTTTGACCAGATGCAGAATGACGACAAGCTTATGGTCTTGTTTCTCACAACATATGACTCGACTCAGGGACGGACACACGGGGCTTTATGGGTGTCCGGGACACCCCTAAATTTTGGGAAAATGATTATTCAACCCACAAGTGTTAATTTACGTACGGATAAAAAAAAAAATATAATTGATAGTGAAGGACACCCCTAAAATTTGAAAAAATGATTATTCTATTGTCATTTTTTAAATATGTGTATGGGAATAGAAGTGGTAGGTTGGATAATTCAAACCTAGAGAACTATTATAATTAATAAACTTAATTTACATTTAACTACAACTCATTTATTGTTCGATTTTGAACACTGTATCATAGTAAAATGTCATTCCCTATCTCTAATTATTTACAAAATCTAGCAATTAAACTAATTTCAACCTACCCTTAATTTGTATTGATTTTATGGTTGTACAATAAGTGTTGAAAGAGACTTTCAACTTTGGGTTACATCAAGAACAATTTTACAAATCGAATATGTTATAAGTTCGTGATGATTTTCTAGTAGGTTATATAGAGACAATTTTTTTGACACTGTAGCACCAAGTGTATTCTACAATTATTTCAGAATATGAAAACACATAATGAACTTTTTTAACCTATACTAGTAAGGTATTTTCTTATTTATATTTATTTTTTTTATTATATTTTTTTTTTTTTAAATGACACCCCCATGAAAAATTCATGGGTCCGCCACTGACTCGACTTGGTAGGCAAGGTAAGATTCAGAGCAGTTGATTATCAGACTGAGCTCTTAGCTTGGATGCGTGCTAATGCACCTTGAAAATGGAAGCAAGAAATGACCTAGAAGGATAGTCAAATCATTTCACCTTAGAAGTTGAATTAAGCCAATAACCAAAAGCAGTGGCGGATCCAAGACATGGTAGAGCACTGGGCCGTATTTGAAAAGAGGCGGAGAGGGCTGGGCTGTAGCCCGACAAAACCCAAAAACATACCAAAAAATACCTAAAATAAAAAATTTACACGTACTATACTAGCTATGAATCCAGAAGAGGGCTGGGCCGTGGCCCGGGGGCGGCCCCCCTGGATCCTCGCTGACCAAAAGACTTGCGTTTAACACAGAAGCTAACGGAAATGGAGAGACCGTGTTGATAAATTTCCATAATAGCAAGGAACATAAGTAGTAGTACGGGATTAGTTTAGTTGCTAACCCCTTAAGGGGTTATAGCATCACACTAACTAAGATAATTATTGTTAAATTAAAAAATTAATTCAATTAAATAAAGGGCAGTTTAGTCAATATATTATTAAACCCTAATATAAATATACATTTTCACCTCCCACCCCTCACTCGGTCGCCCACGTCCTTTTCCCTCCCTCTCCGCGAGAAACCATCTTCTTCTACGCCAGGAAATCGTCTTTTATCCTGCCTCTTCCGTCTCCACTGTGAGGCCATCGCCTCCGCCAGCCTCACCATCGCCCGCGTCAGACTCGCCTTCGTCCTGTCTCTAGGTTGCCATCCTGAACTACTAATCAAGAACGCCGCCGTCAACGACATCCTCCCTCGCCGCCCTCAACTAATCCCATATCTGTCTAAAGCAAGATCGTCGTAGCGCCACCGTCATGCGCGCATCTATGTCGATTACCAAATCTGTCCCAGCAACGTCGTCATCTTACCGTCTCATCTCTTCCAGCCATCAAAGTTGACGGATCTCTGCAACGTTGGCGGGTCTCTTCCAGTTGTGAGAATGTTGTCGTCACGCTGCCGCATCGATCTGCTCTCCCCAAGCATCTCTTTACGCTGGCGGATTTCCATATTTCACAATAATATCGTGACAATGAGAATTGTTATATGTAGTAGTGATTTTCCATATTTGTAGTAACATTTTCTTGTTTAATTAGTAGTAATATTACAGCTCTGATTGAGGTTTTATGATGTAGCAGTGGTTCTTGGGTAAACTACATATTTTAATCAATAAAAATTGCTACGCAGGAAATATAAAACAATACTAAGTAAATTCCTGAATCACTACTAATGACAAATAAATTGCTACACGGAAAGTCCTAAATCACTGGTAATGATAATTAAATCGCTACTAAAAAACTCCTAACTTACTACGGATAACAATTAAATTCAAAAACACTACTATCAAACCTCAAAATCATCTTTTTCGATAAAAAAAATTACAAACATACAGATGAGAGAAAATATATTTTAATTTGTTAATTATTTAATTATTTCTAATTTTGTGAAATACCGTTCATTACTTATCACCGTTGGATTCAACTTAAAAAAATGAACGGTGATTAAAGCAGTTATTACGGTGCTAACTCCTATGAAGTTAGCACCCTAACCTCTCCCACATAAGTACTGAATTTTACACATAGATAATTCTCTTTTGCTCAAAGCTTCAAAAAGGGAATTTTGCATAAGAGTTGTGAAAATAAACAGGAAAGAGTTCTGGCCGTGGTGGTTGAAGTTGTAAGCTTTCAGAGAAGTGGAAGAACAATGCTTTATAAACTTGCCACAGATATGTACAATCTATATATTCCCTAATTACCCTAGTTCGCCGGGTACCTATAGTTCGTCATACAGAAATGAATATACTACAAAGAGAAACTGATTTCAGTCTCTGCTACTGCTATATATATGTTGACTGAATAGAGAATAAAAGATATGAATATTGATTCTAATGCTTACAAGATTGAAATTTTGGTACAGCAAAGAGATTCTGTTGCTTAGAAAGAGGTCCTGCTCCATCTGGGAACACCACGCCCGTATTCCCATCACCGAAACTTAGCCACCCATCCATCGTCAAGCCAAAGTATCTCCAGAGCTTCTTCGTCCATATATCTCTCCAGCATGAGCCACTGGCACGTATACTGCATCCATTAACGAGCTGTGTTTTCGGCCATAGAACAAATACACTACGACGCCAATCGCCAGCCATACAGAGACACGAGCCCATGTGGCACCACTGCAAGATTTTAAGAAACATGCCCAATTTATATTCAGATTGGATGGAGCAACAGAAAACATAATATTGGACACTCAAAAATCAAAATCAACATTGATGAGCATAATATTGGAGTACTCACCCGAGATTGACGAGCAGGTAGATATTGATCAGAATGCAGAAGATTGGGAGCAGAGGAACAAACGGGCATGTGAAACCTGAAGAAGAAAAAATGACATCCCCAAACGGTACAAATTGTTAACAAATGCATCAATCGTGACTTACATTTCCTAAGGCAACTATTTATGGCAACCCGAATGGCATCCGCCAAGTCAGATTAGCAGACAAGTAAAAACGCAAGTAATAGAAATGCTTCCTCGAGTCAACCTTTATTCCTATTTGCTGAATCATGACTCCTGCAGGTAACGTTCCTGAAATATATATTTGTAGGGTGATTGATGTCATACCTCCAGAATGTCCAAAGTTGTGCCTTGCTTCATCTTGCTCTATACATGTCAGCACAACCAAGCCAGTCAGGAGAAGAGCTCCACCGAATCCACACAAGCAATACCGAACAAGCCTGATGATATAAAATTCAAACACATAAGATCAGCTCATTTCTCTAATTTCATGGGAAACTATAAGCATTGGTGACACGACGAGTTATGAGTATGCATGCTGGACCAAGGGAACACAACCCACCACTGAATAGCCAAATTTGAAGCTGCGTATGTAAGGGTGAATGCTCCAATGCATGTGAATGCTATGGTCCAGCCAGCAATCTTCCTCCTTTTCTCTTCACTTAACACATCTGAACCCATAAACAAAACATGACACATGAAAAATAAAATTAAGTCTATAGTCTTGTGCGTGTAAAACTTCAACAGTCTCTACATTGAGATAAAATTTAATGAGCAATCAAACATTGGGGGACCAGAGGGTAATTATAGCTACACATACTCCATCTGCTGACATCAAACATTTGGATATACATAAATCAGCAGTTAAGCAATTAAGCTGTGTCATGCAAGAGAACGAGGAACTTACATTTAACTGAAGGGTCCTCTTTGACAAGGTCAGGATAGTCCGCTGGTGCATTCTTTCCAACAAGCAAAGGTAATTTAGAATCCTTGGAAATGCTGGCATGAGCCTTTGACTTTTTCTTAGTAGAACCCCCACTAATTCTGTTGTAATGCAATGACACACTATCTATTGTGTCCTGGAGTGAGGATGGAACAGGCACCTCATCCGGTGGCACATATCTGAGTATTAGCACAGAAATTGCAACCATAGTGAATGCAAGAAGTGTCCCCACACTGACCTGCAAGAAATACAACCATCATTATCATAAAGAGATCTATGGCATGAATGGGAACTGTAGGTTAAAACACTGCCACATACCATGCCTGCCAATTGATCAACATCCATACAAAAAGCTAGGGTGGCGGCACATAGTCCCGTCACCACAGTGCTCTTCACAGGAACTTGACTTTTTTTGTTGACATCTGAGAAAAATGATGGCAGCAATCCATCTCTAGCCATAGCCATTAAGATCCGAGGCTACAATAAGAAAAAGGAAGGGAATAATTACAAATTCTGTCAATGTGGAAAAACCAGAAAAAAATTATCCCACCTAAGAGATTTATTCCACTAGATTTACCTGGGGTAGCATTGACCCCATCAATGTGGAACACAGTGCCATGACAGCTCCAGCTGTAATGATGTAACTGTAATCAGAAGTAACAATCGTAAGAAACAAACTTCAAGTACCTCCAAAGTCATTAAAAAAAGAGCTTAGCCAGTATGTATTGCTTACACTGCCCATTGCATCCCATGAGCAGCAAATGCAGATGAGATAGGAGTATCCGGATCCATTGCATAGTATGGCACCAAACCGACAACAACAATCGACACCAGCATATAGAGCGAACAACAGATGGACAATGCAAACCCTATTCCCATAGGCAAATCACGTTGAGGATTCCTCACCTGTTCATAATGTTAAAAAAAACAAAGTTAATACATGGGCAAACACAAGGGAAATATCAAGAAGGTGAAAAAAACTCTAACGTAGAAAAGAGAGCGGTTTCAACCTCTTCAGCTGTGCTGGCAACTGAATCAAAACCAATGTAAGCAAAGAAGACAACGGCGGAACCTGCAAGCATGCCATCAACACCAAAGGGGAAGTACCTGCTCGTTTGGAAATATATGGTTAGTGGGAAATTATGATAACCCACCATATGTAACCTAGAATAGATTGTAAAGATTTATTTACCCAGTAGGAAGCTCATATCCAGACCAGCCAGTCTTGAAACCCAAGTAAGTTCCAGCTATTATGACGAACAGCATGGCACATAAGTTCACGGTGGTCACTATGCCTTGGACCATAGTACTCTGTAAGCAGCAAGAAATTTTTGAGTTACAAGCAAAGAACACTAGTAGGAATAAAATTGTAAAATGAAAAGAGAGGACGGAACAAAAGGACACCTCCTTGATTCCCACACACAAGAGCCCAGTGACAACAAACACAAGAATTGCCGCACATGGATCCACTACAATACCAAGCCCCGGGATCGCTTGACGTGCCAGGAAAAATGGAAGGCTGCCTTCACCTCCAAATAGCAATGCCTGCCCACAAGAAATAATAGACCTGTTAGTTAAAAGAAAAGAAGAAGAAAAAAAATCAACATGTGCTAATTAGATCTGGAAACATTGTGAATGAAACTTGACTGAAAACCGATACAGTTGATCCTGACCAACCACATGCTATTGTCTAAAGACTCCCAATCAAACCCAAAAATTTCCCTTTCATTCCTAATGGGACTAGGAATGACTTCTGAGAATTCACAGCAAAATGAAGATCGGAATAACAGTAGTTTCAAGAATTCAAGCACTGAGTATACCTATCTCAATGTATACAACGGTGTCACATGCCATCTTATTAATAGCCAGGGAGAGGGATACAATATAGCAAGAAAAATCAAAGAAACAAAAGTGTTTGAGCATGTGAAGTTAAATAACCAGATTGGGGGAAATGCCACGAGCAACTGCTGACCCGCCGATTGTGTATTCCAGAATCAGAGCCCAGCCCACCAACCAAGCAACTCTGCACATCAGAGTGGTTATTGGTAAGATCACTAAAACTTCACGAAAGAAGAAAACTGACATGCAAACTGGAACTGCATTTACTAAAGAACATAACCAGCGCTGACTTTGATAAGCAACTAACTTAATCAACAGCAAACCCTCATCAAATCATTTGTTTAAGAATTCTCTAAACATTAACATGATACTACACATGAACTGTGAGTCCTCAACAACCATTTTTTGAATATTTACTTCGGCCAAAATGATGCGATATAAACAAGTTATAACTTCGATCGAGAAGTGAACTGACTGTGCAAGTTCCATATATAAGTAAACAACTTTCAAGACATCAGAAGATTATTTAACTTACCCTTCTCCGACACAAATGTACGAGTAGTGATAGGCACTGCCAGCAGATGGGCAGCGACTTGCAAGTTCTGCATAGCAGAAGGCTGATAAAGCGGCAGCAAATCCAGCGATTAGAAAAGATAAGGCAAGTGCTGGCCCTGCGTGTTCCCTAGCAACAGTCCCCACCAGAATGTAAACTCCAGCTCCAATCGTCGAACCAACGCCTGATCCAAAGCGTAACCACCGTCAGTTAGCAGAGTAACACCACATCAAACACAATCAATTATAAATAAAAAAGGATCCGTCACAGTAAAGGAGTAAAAGGATAGACAAGCCAAGAGCAGTTCACAGGGAGTTCAGTAGGATCATCATCATCACAATTTACTGTAAGACGCAATTAACTCTGCAGTTAAACCAAACAGAAAAGGATAATGACCCAAGTTGAGCTGCTAACCCAGGAACCTTATCCAAAGGAAATTCACTCTCATTTGAGAATCGACATGAATCGTGAACTATGAAGCAAAAACAAACAGATTAACGAGAAGGAGAAAAGTCCCAATTGAATCTTCCAAAAAAGTGGAAAGAAACAAAAGCTTTGGGATTGCAAACTCAGGCATTACCAATGGCAATGAGATGAAGAACAGACAGCTCCTTGGCCAACTGGTCGTGGCCGTGGACATTGCCGTCAGCAGAATCAACCTGTTTCCTCCTTATTAGAGTCTTCACGCAACCTCCCAAGAACCCGATTCCGCCATCCTTTTGCGAATCCACCAGAAAACCCATCAAAATCTTATTCCCGCTCGCCCTCCTCTAAACTCCCCAAGCTCCGGAACACAACCCCAATTATATTCCCCTGGACTCCAACTCTTCTCAGATAGAATCACGGCCCTTGGTATCGATGAAATTGATTAAAACAACAAGGGCAGAGATGTAGAATATATCTATATGTGGTAAAAGATGGAAGAATTGGGTAGGAGCAGAAGGAAGAGCCGGAGGGCGGCCCGCGTCCCCGGCGGCGGGTTGACGGGGGTTGTTGAAGAATTTTTCGCGGGGTTTTTTGCGAGCTCTTCCTTCCGAATTGGGGGAAAGTGATGTGAAGGAGGGGGGAAGCTGGCAGATTCTGAAGATTCTGAAGGATTGAGAGAGAAATGGGAAATCTGACTGCTTATGTAGGCAAGGCAGCCTGTTTAGGGAGTTACTGGCTAGCGTGTGGAGGCAGGATGACGGAGCTCAGCGAATTTGAATGTTCATTATTTGGCCGTATCCGTTTCCAGTGCAGTGCTGATTGGATTTCACGGCTGCTAATATTAAATTATGGGTTACACGGGCCAGGTGATTAGGAGGGGGCCTTAGTTAAATAATTAAGTGAATCTCAGCCCTTTCATATCATCAAACTTCAATGATTTAGATCAATCTAATTTAATGAAGGACAATGTAGTAATTTTTTCTAAAATTTAATTTATTTATTAAAATTTAAAAACAAATAATTCAAGTAACAAATATTAGCAAAATAATATTTTGATTTGAAATGGCATTCGTAAGTTATTCTTCCATTTGAACTTTAGTTATAAGAATTCAAATAATTCAAAGTTAACCTTTAACAATATCTCATCTTTTTAAAAGTTTTATTAACTATGCCCTATATTTTCAAAAATGAAGTGGTTGTCTGATGGAAAATGTCAATGACTCGCGATTAATAGTTTATCATTATACAACTATTTTGGAATTGTTAAAGGAACTATTCATTCATGTAAATAGTAATAGATGTAAATAATAGCGTAGTTAGGTTGAAGAAGCATTTAAGTTGTTCCTTTGAACCAGATTTTATGTTTCATAATTTTCTAATAAAAACCTATCTCGTATTGGTAGGTTTGTTATTGTCCATGATCCCAAAGAATTATGATAGATACTAAAAATAAGTGAAAATGAAAGATGGAAGTCAAAAGAACATTTGATATGGTTGCTTATTTGAAAATTAAAAAAAAAATCAAAAACGAAATAAATTTATTGTATTTTGCCAAGATTTCCTTTTTTTTTTTCCTCTTCATGTTTGCCGAAGTCACTTTGAAATTAAGATTCTAAAAAGTTGTTGAAGATTCTACAAAACCTAATGCGAACAAACCTCTTCCCAAACATCCACCACAACAAAATATCATCTTCGTCATCTCGAAATCCAATTCGCAATCACTATCTCATTCAGGAGCTAAACGACTTTAGATATCCTTTGTTTCCTTAACCACACAAAATAAATCTAAATAGAGTAATGTCCCAATAATTTAGCATGTACCTTAAAACAAATCTACTTTTCTCTTAATCATAATCGTATAAAAAAAAAGCAAAAGTCCAATAATAATGAGTGGCCCTTGGGTATGACAACTTTTGAAAAATGAGCAAAATTGCCCTTCCACCAAATAAGGACAACCAATAAAAGTGCAAGGTGGATTTAGAAATAAAGGTTTTTGTACAACATTTGAGATTTAAAAACCTAAGGATTTAACCAACCATTTTATCACTATTGAGTTAGAGCGTTTATAATAAAAGATTGTGTGACAAATAGCAATCCTTCTTTTAAATTTCTATCAAACTTACTTTTCCTCAAATTTAAGAAAAAAATTTCTAATAAGAAAAATGAAACAAACACTTCCACTATTGAAACCAGATGCTCTATTAGTATAATATTGTCTAATTTTGAGTCAAGCTGGCCACGTTTGAAAAATGAATCGCATATATTGTGTAGATGAGTACGCAGGTAAATTTTTTTTATGGTTAGTAAAAAATATCATTAAGCACGGGAGATGCCAATAGGCATTAAACTCCTCTCAAGGTTTAAACAAGCAGCCTAACCTTTATACATTCAGCAAACACTCTATCCAAACCAATGAGAAACATGTCTAAAACTATTTTGAAGCTGTACACTTCCTGTTATAAAGTAACGTGCATCACTTGTAATTTTAAGCAACAAAATGGAAGGAGAGCACCAATCACTATCTCCTGCAACCATTGTTGTCAAACCGGTTTCATGTTGGCCGGTTCAACCGGGTTCAAAGCAGTCAAAATCGGGATTTTATCTAAAATCGAAAACTGGAGTAAAATCGGAATCGTAAAATCGAATCGTAGAATTATAGGATTTTAAGTACCACATAGAAATTAACATATAATAATATTAATAAGGTAAATCATTAATAATACAAAGACATATAACATGTAAAGTGATAATTTTCAAGATTAATGTTCCAAAATAATTATTTTAATTGTCATTTAATGTGTAACTCAAAATAATTTATAAGGAAGGGATAACTCTCATGGGGTTTGGTTCTTGTTTTTCATGTTGTGTCTAGGTAGTTTAACTCAAAGTAGTATTCCGACATCGTCTACTAAGCATGATTTAAAACTAAGAATAAGTAAACTCCAATAAGAATTTTAATATCATTGGTTTGGTATAAATATATTCATAAATCAATTAATTTGTTAATAATGATGTTAATTCTTTCGTACTTACAATATTATGATAACTATTTTACTGATGAGTTAAACAAGAAGAAGGGAATGTGGTTGACCGAACCCTAATTAGGTTTTTTTTTTCTTTTCAAATGTTCTTTTAATAGGAAAAATATCTGAGAAGATCCTCGCCATTGCCCTTTCCACAGAAACAGTTCTGCTTCTTTTGAATTGGCTCAAACTACCTACTTTGTTCACATAGGATCAAAATCCCGATTTTGGTACGATTTTAACGATTTTAATCCCGATTTCGAACGATTTTAAGGTCCACCGACTTTATATTAAAATCAGGATCGGAATCCCTAAGTAAAATTCTAAAATCCTACGATTTTACGATCAAAATCCCGATTTTGACTGCATTGACCGGGTTCAACCGGTACCGGTCAGCAAACTGGCTGGAAAGGGGCCGGTATTTAACTGTGGTCAAATCCGGAAATTCCGACCGGTTTGACCAGAAACCGGAATTTAATGTTACACACATTATATCCAAAAATAAACATCATCCATAGGATTTGAATCAAGTACCTCATGTTCATTTTAGTTTAACTTACACAGCAGTAAGTTACAAGCAATTTTGTTGTCTATATTAACCTTATATGTTATATATCTAATACTAAATTTTACACAAATCATTATAAACATTAATAAAATTTTATTTTTAAGCATCTAATTGTTTAGTATTAGTTACCAATTCTTAGCTATAAATTATTTTGTGTGAAATAATTCTTCTAATTGCTTTTTCAAGACTAATTTATTTGGAATTGAGGATTTCCATTTTCCTCATGTATTTTATTAAAAGCGGCACAACCGACACGAATACTGGTTGTATCACGGTCAGACCATTCCACTTACAAAACTGGCACACCGGCATAAACCGGTTTGACAACCTTGCCTGCAACTCTTCTACACCTCTCATGCCATAGATGGCTCAGAGTCAAAATCCATAAAACCCGACCAGCAATCGTCATATGACTTGAACCACTCCAACAATCCACCCCCCATTGGAGGTGTTCCTCCCAGCTAGTGAAAGTGGGAACCACACAGTTTATCTGCGGCATAATGCTACAAAATCCACATAGTATAAGAACATGAGCAGAAAAGATGCACACGTGATTCTGATCCTCCTGGGCATAAAGCACACAAATCATCTATAGTCAATCGCCAAGCCAGTAATTTGTCTTTAGTATTTATACGACCCATTACCACAAGCCAGATTAATAGTGAGTGCTTGGGGTAATACGGTTTGCCCCAAACCACTTTGCTCCAAGGAACAAACTGATGAGGAGAGCATATTGAATCCCAAATTGCCTTGATTGAATACCTCTTAAGAGAGGCTCCATTCCACTACGCAGGTAAATTGACCTATGAACATTCCAATCCTATTTGCATAATTAATTATGGGTGTTCAAATGGTTACCATGGTAATTACCAAACCAAATAATTCTAAATTCTATTAACCATAGAATACAATATCATAACCAAACCGTCCAAACTAATACAACAACCAAATTTTCGAAACTAAAATTTAATTGGTTTGGTTAATTGGTTAACCAAAATAACCAATATAACATCACATTATCATTAAGGGAGAAATTTTTTTGGTTAGTACATCAATTCGCAATTTATATAATGAATAACATGTAACAAATACAATCATCTTACATTTGACTCTTGAGTGATTATGCAAAGTATTAAGTATTTGTAGGTGGCTTCTACGGTACCCCGGGTGAAATTCGGGGTATCGTATACCTTGAGTATGAAAACTCTATCTAGACCTCAAAGTAACAAGATTTTTTGACCTGATACTATACCCAACCCTTAATGAGTGAACCCTAGGTCCTAGTTATCTAAATCATAAACTATAACCCCTAAGATGGTGCATTCATTTATTGCCTATATTTGGGTGAATCATAACCGTCGATTATTGTTTCCAATTAAATTGATCTTGGGGTATAAGATTTAGAGAATTAAGGCCTAGATTGTGATATTTAAGGGTTAGAGTATAGTATCATGTAAGGAAGTGGTTAAGCACCATACACGGGCCTGTATAAGATCCAACATAACCTTCTCTCAACAACTCGAGTTATTGGGACCAACTGGTTCATGACATGGTATCAGAGCCTAGTTTGTCTTTGAGGTCACGTGTTCAAGTCCTCACGACCCCCAATATTAACCGTTGTCTTCAAAGCACATGGTAGGGCTGGGCCTGTGCAAACTTCAAGCCCATGAGTCGGCTTTCGTTTGAGGGGGCGTGTAAGGAAGTGGTTAAGCACCATACACGGGACTGTATAAGATCCAACATAACCTTCTCTCAACAACTCGAGTTATTGGGACCAACTGGTTCATGACATATCATGTCCGAAAGTTCAATCAATTCAATGTCTAGGTAGTGTTTTCATACTCAATGTATGCGGTACCCCGGATTTCACTCTAGGTACCGTAGAACTTAGATATATGACTAATTACTTAACTGGTTAATTTGGTTTGATTGGTTAGGAGTGTCTGCAACCAAACCACTTAAGCCAAACAAGCTAAATTTTATAACCAAACCAATTATCCAAATTAATCAAATCACACTAACCAAATACTACCGATTAAAACTATTACCACGGTAATCACACCGTTTGAACACTCTAGAATTAATGACAGCAGGCAGGCCGGCAGGGGTATGGGGCAACGACCAGAGTGGCGGTCCGAAAGCAAAGACAGCAGCAGTGTGCGCCTGTGCGGTGATCGAGGCAGCAGTGGCTAATGCTATCGCAGTACTCCCGTTGTTATAATAGTGTGATAAAATGGTTGGTTAATTAGTTTGGCGGTGGAGGTTGGCTCTTCTGCTTCTCCCTCCCAAGTTCCAACCCGACCCAAATCCCTAACCCACTGCCTTGGAAATGTGAACGTACGCTACAAGGAGATAATTTAAATTGTAGGTATTTGTCTAGAAATATCGCTATTAAAAAAAAATATTACAAAAATACCACCCAATGAAAAAGAATTCTACTTATACCACCTTTTTCTAAGAACCGTCTCCAGGGGAGGCGTTTTCACTGGAAACCGCTCTGGGAGGAAGTGGTTTTAATTTGGGCAACAAACCGCCCTCCCCAAAAGCGGTTTGAAGGCTGCCCTAGGTCAACATGATAGAAATCGCTCCCCTTATGTGCGGTCTGTGAAAACCGTTTCATGGAGGAGCGGTTTGTATGTCGACACCAAAACCGCCCTGGGGGGATCAGTTTTCATGTGTTTTCCCCACTTTCTCGACAGGAAAACAGTCGTCATGCAGGGGACTGCTGGAGTCGGGATTTTGATACATTTAATAGAATTAATTTTGTACACAAAATTATACTCTATTATATTATTATTTTTAAATCACATTGGTTGTTTCCAATAATTTAAAGGATGCAAGTACACTCGTTAGACTCTTAGAAGAAGTATACATCTCCTTAGAAACACAACCTTTTTGACAGAAAAAGGGGGATCCGAGGATCTCTGAGAACCCGATTTTCCCAGGAAATGGGAGGACCATGATGATCGCTTAAGACCCCATTTCCTTATACATGCATCTCTTTATGAAGAGTCTAAATAAGTGGCACTTGGTATTGCTTTAAATTATTGAAAACAACCAATGCGATTAACAATTAACAAATTTATTTACAAACCACTAACTTATGTTAACAAAATAAAAGAGATATAGACATGAGAAATTATAAGTACCTCATGATTGTTCCAAACATCCCTTGAACGATGATTTTCTTGGTCGTATAACACGGTTGGATCAATCGGTCCTTGATCGATATAATATCTTTGATCGTAGATATCAACGTCCGGCCCAACCTACGATAGCATAACAACAATATAAATTAATTAGTATATAGATTAAATAAAATCGTTATAACAACAACAAAAACAAGAGCAAAATGAGTACGTACTGCTTGATAGTCATCCACAAAGACCCCCTCCCCCTCGATAAAACCGGTCATATTTTTAGGAACCGGACAGAGATTCGACGGGTTTTGAAGGAAAAAACTCGGAAATGTTTTCTGATGGCAGTTCGGACTTAGCCGCAACCAACAGACCACTATTTTCTAGTTTTTGGGTGGGGAGGGGAATGTTAGAGAGAACTAATCTTAGAGAGAGAGGAGAATGGGTTTTGGTGTGAAAAAATGAGGGGGAGGGGGTATTTATAGTTTCAGAACCGTGGGGTGGGGGCGGTTTTGTAATTTTGCAAACCAAAAACCGTGTCTCCCACCCACGGTTTTGTTTGTGTTTCTTGAAAACCGCCGCTGCAGGGGGCGGTTCCTTCAACAAGACATGGACCGTTGAGTTGCCAGCCGGTCTACCGTCGGATCTCCTCCTAATCCGACGGTCACTAAAACCGCCTCCTCCCAAGGCGGTTTTGCTAGGGTTTAGCACAAACCGCCTCCTCCCAAGGCGGTTTTGCTAGGGTTTAGCACAAACCGCCTCCTTGCATCACGGTTTTTGTATAAACCGCCTCCCAAGGCTACGGTTTTTAGAAAATAGTGGTAGAAGTGGAATTTTTTTCCATTAGGTGGTGTTTTTGTAATATTTTTTTAACAGTGGTATTTTTGGATTTTCCCCCTAAATTGCATACTAGAAAACCGAATCAAATATCAAGAACGACCTCAAACACGGTTGTGATTTTGTTAAGTGCTCTCTCAGGAGAACGACACAGATTAATAAGCATGATGTATTAAGGTTATTAATAGGGTTAATAGCATTTTGTACCCCTCTACTTTGACGAATGAACAAACGTGCCCCTCTACTAAATTTTTGCACGAACATACCCTTCTAGTATTAAAATGTAACAATTTTACCCTTCCATCTATTTTTCCGTTAAGTTACCGTTAAATGATCTGAGAAATGACATAATTACCCTTCATTTACCAATAAAACACTCTTAATATTTATTTTGTATACTTTATTTTCCTAGCAAAAGTGATTATTTATTTATTTCTCTAACCCAAGTGTTTGTTTGTAAAATTTGCATCGTACAGAGTCCTCCGCCTCCGCAAAGCCCCCGACCTCTGAACAAGGAACTCCGGCGTGAATCAACTCCGACATCGATCGCTCGATGGCGGTTGGATCAAGCTTCCAGAGCGCATGAGGGATTCTGGAGCGACTCTTCCCCTCCTTCACCGACGCGAAATCCGCAGGCTCTTCTCCCTTTGTCAGTTCCTCTAGCAAACGGATAGCAATTGCGATTCCTCTGCTTCGACGCGACATCCCAACCTCTTTCTTCTGCGTTCTTCAGTTCCTTAGGCGATCAGCAACGATGTCAGCACCTTCTTCTTCCTTTGTCTAGTCAGTCGATAGAGAAATCCCCCAAAACGCAAATCATGTCTTCCTATTTGCCTCGATGGGGAAGTTGCAAATGCCGAATCATATTGTTGTTCTTTGTTGGTTGTAATTGGCTTGATTTTTAGTGTGTGGTTGCAGCTAGTATTTGAATTGGATGGAATGTATATTGATTGTAGGCATTGGAATCACATAATCTGCAGATCCCTTTTGACAGTAAGCCAAGACCACTTGTTTGTTGCTACTCAAGAAAGACCAAATAACTTTGTTTGGTGCTGTCAACTACTACATTCAAAACAAAACTAAGAAACCAGCCGGTTGATGCATAATATAATACCAAACTGCAGTTCCATAGTTACTTTCTGCTGTCAAATACTACATTCAAAACGAAACTCAAAAACCAACCAGTTGATGAATAATACCAAACTGCAGTTCCATAGTTACTTTCTGCTGTCAACTACTACTTTCAAAACTAAACTCAGAAACCATCTGATTGATGCATAATACCAAACTGCAGTTCTATAGTTACTTTCTGCTGTCAACTTCTGCATTCAAACAAAACTATTAAACTGGAATCGTGCTCTCTTGGGTGTCACCGTGTCCACTTCCTCCTTCTTTGTCAAGCCTTGCACCAACTCCAGCTTGGTTGTTTGTTTGTGATTGAGGAACTTGAATGACCCTTCTGCTTTTCAAGCCCGGCTATAGAACAACAATGAAAACAAATCATTTAGCTATTGAATGACTTAAAAGGCCTGAATTGCAGAGTTAGAGGCGACTTTTATAGGACTTACATCCATGACTATGAAACCGCTTGGACTGTGGTGCACACCCACCCCTACAAAGGGTTTATTCTTCTTCTTCGGCAGTCTTCTCTCCTGTCAGCTACTGGTCCCGGCACTTTCAGTTTGGTCTTGTATCTGACTTGAGTGACCAACTCCCTAAGAAGGATTTAATTAGACAATTATGGAAAGGAAAACGAATTAAAACTGATAAGTTGAAAATTAAGTGTGTACCTTAGATGGAATCTCAGCTTTACAACTTCGTGAGTTGTGTCCCTCTTGCTTGCATCGTTTGCAAGTAATAACCCATCCGGTCCTCCGTAGTTTGGAAGGATCATTCTTGTCGGATGCCATCAAATCTTAGAATTGTAGACTCTTTTCTTCTTCTGCCTTTGTCGATCTTCTTTCTCTTCAGCACTCCTCACTCTCTTCTTCTTTGTTCTCCCAGGCAGCACTCTAAAATCTGGAGGAAGTATGGCTTTATATTCACTTCGATTCCATGATTTTGGACCATCCATTGGTTGCAAGACATGCTGATAAGTATTCCGGAAGTTTTGACTGGAGAAATAATCTGAAATATACATGACAGGATCTTTATCTTCATAGACCAAACAAGCTATAGCATGAGGGCAAGGGATACCAGATAATACTCATACTCTGCAAGAGCACACATGTTGAAGAAGCTGCACAGTGAATCTTTCACCGAGATGCCTCACCTCATAACCATGTTGTCCATTTGACAGTATGTGGCAAAAGTCACTTTCTGCAACATTCTTATTAAACTTCTTCAATATCTTTGGGCAATATAAGTCATTCCATTTATTCCCCAATGCCATCTTCGTGGCAACCATTTCTAAAACCATAACACGAAGATCATCTAACATGCTGAAGATGGCCTTGTATCTAGCTTCTAAGATGGAGGCATTGAATGATTCAGACATGTTGTTGTCAACTGTATCACATTTTACCTCTGTTGAGAAGTATGATCGACACCAGTGTTTTGGATCGATTGACAGCAATGCAGTTGTAACATCTTTATTTTCAGCAGCTAATCTTTGCCATGCTCTGTCAAATGAAATTGGAGTCGTCACTTTTGCACATGCCCAAAACATCTTCTGCCAATCTCGATTCCTGAACTTCTTCCTCCAATTACTGTATATATGTCGTGCACATAGCCGGTGTTCAGCATATGGGAAGAATTCGGCTATTGCCGGAACAAGACCCTAAAGCATAAATTTCATAAATAATCAACATGAAAAGCACGAGTGAACAATTAAGCAAAAGCCTACAGTAGCTAAGATGGAAAGTATGAATGGATGATTAAGATAAAGTAAACATGAATGGACAATTAAGCTAAAGTCAACAGTAGCCAACATGAAAAGCACGAATGGACAAAATGAAAAACATAAATGGACAATTAAGCTAAACCCAACCGTAACTTTTCTACATGTCATCAAGTTCAACCTATGCTCGTGTGTATGAACTTAGCTTGCTGATCCATTTCTTTTACTTGCTTATATTTGCAAAAAAAAAAAAACAACAAGTAAATTACCTTCATTTGGGCTGAACTGAAAGCCCAACCAGCCCCTTCCTCGATGCTTAAATCATCTCTCAACTTGTTCAGAAACCAATCCCATGAACTTCTCGACTCAACTTCAACCACTGCCCATGCAACAGGGTACATTTGATCATTTGCGTTCCTCCCAACAGCAGCAAGTAATTCTCCTTTGCATAAACCTTTAAGAAAGCATCCATCTAATGCTATGATCTTCCTGCAGCCAGCTTAGAAACCCTTTTTCATAGCACCAAAACATATGTACATTCGCTGGAACTTCGGCTTCCCTTCAGGATTGTATTGATTAACCATGATACGGACAGTTGTGTCCGGGTTAGTTCTCCTCAACTCTTCGGCATAAGTCCACAGAAGTGCATACTCATCCTGGTAGCATCCTTGAGTCAAATGCATTACGATTTTCTTAGCAACAGTTGTACTAGCATTTGAACCATCGGTAGTCATGATTGCTGCAACAAAATCAAAAGATGTGGTCCCAAAAAATCCTTGTCAAGTAGATAGACTGTTTCTTTGGCATGCCCCTGCAATATAATAAGACAGTTAATGGAGTTAATAGAACGATAACCCTTGTCTCTGATGATCAAAAGGGAACAGCCAAAAGTTTCACTTTATTGATTAAAGTTCCAAGCGTACAATACAATTTTGATGTGAAGTAAACCTGATCTCTGATGATCATAAGGGAATAAACAAAAGTTTCATTATATTGTTCAAAGTTCCATGCGTACAGGTACAACTCGTATATAAGAACGAGACTGTACCTTATTTAGCAAGAAACGGATGGAGATGGAATGATGGGGCAGTTGGCATCGATGGGAGAAGATGAGTAGAGGTGTGGCAGTCGAGTAGATAAATCGACGAGGAAGCTGGTGCCAGAACTCGTGGGAGGAGATATGGGAGCAGGCGCCGTCGTCGATCGCAGGACTAATGGCCAAGGGAGATTAGGGAGATGGACGGTCACTGGGTTGTATTTTTAATTAATTCGTTTTTTTACATATATAATAAAATAATTAAATTAAAATTAGGGTAAATACACTATATTAGCCACAACTATTATGAAGCGGGGAATTATAGCCACAACTACGGAAATTCAAATTATTAGCCAAAAGTTAAAATTAAAACAGAAATTAGGAGTAAATGAAGGGTAATTATGTCATTTCTCAGCTCATTTAATGGTAACTTAGCGGAAAATTAGATGGAAGGGTAAAATTGTTATGTTTTAATACTAGAAGGGTATGTTCGTGCAAAAATTTAGTAGAGGGGTACCTTTGTTAATTTGTCAAAGTAGAGGGGTACAAAATGCTATTAACCCTTATTAATATGTGAAGAAGTTTTAATAAACATTAGGGATGGTAGTAGAAGCCGAATCCGCGGGTACCCTACCCGATTCAATTCTGTCAACGCGGGTAAAATCTGCTTTGACGGATTGCGGGCCTGGTTTGGATTTAAACTCGCTATACTTTTTATGGATTGAATTTAGATTTAGCCATATCCAACTCGTGGATACCCGCACCCAAGTCTTTACCCTTAACTAATTAATTATAATTTCTAAACTAATTCCTCACATGTTCAATTAATTAATTATAATATTTGTGGATGTTTATCTTTAATATTGAACAATTAGTATGAATGATTTGTGAGATAGTGTGTATGTAGTAGACAATAGTAGTGAAAACTAGTGTATTTGCATCTTTGTACATGAACTTATGGGTACCCATGAACCCGCCGGTACCTAGCAGGTTGGGTTGGGTTTGAGTTTTCCAAATCCAGTGGGTTTTACCCCGGGTTTTTTTGGTGAATACACCATTGGGTTTGGGTTTGACATAACCCACCCCAACCTGACCCATTGCCATCCAAGCATGATGTATTAAGATGCTTGAGAATGTATTTATAAATTAATAGGCTGGTATTGTATTGTTGTTGAAATAAATTGGTGGTGCTTGTAATATATAAGGGCAATAAGATAAATTAGCCTTTTAAGTTATAAATTCCATATCTATAAATCCATGATCGAAACTACTCCACAAATAAAGGATTGTTTCAAATTCATAATGTCTTAAATCCCTGATAAATTCTTAGGTTTTTAAATCCCAAATTTTGTACAACCTTCATTTCTAAATCCAACTAGCAAACGACCCCAAATCCATCAAACAAACAATCTCATAATCTTAACTTTTGAGTTAGAGCGTTTATAATAAAAGATCGCGTGACAATTAGCAATCCTCATTTTAAATTTTTATCAAACTTACTTTTACTCAAATTTAGGGAAATATTTTTCTAATAAAAAAAATGAAACAAACACTTTCGCTATTGAGACCATATGCTCTATTAGGCCGACTTCAATGCAAGACTTCAAATTTGTCGACCTTCATCCCCAAATTTGGGGATTGTTCCCATTTTCTTCAATTTGGCTCCAATGCTACCCCTACCCCACCAAAAAAATTTGGGGATCTTTTTTTTTCTAGTTTTTGTTTACTTAAAAATCTACTTATTATCATCTTAATATAATTTGTTCATGTTAATTTTTGTATAGTTCGTCATCATTTTTAAATACAAATTTTCCGATACAATTTTTTCAA